CACTGTTGTTCTGAAGCTTTTTGTCCTCGAGCTTGCAGGAGTCCAGCTTGACCTTTTTGTTCTCGAGCTTCTTGTCTTCGATGCTCTTGACCTCGGGCTTGCTGGCGTCCTCCTCCTGCGTGGTTAGTTGCGTCTCCTCGCGCTGCTTGACGCCGTCCGCGGTCTTCACCTCCTCGAAGTTCTCGGTCCGCGCGCCGTCTGCGCCCGCTCGTCGCCCTGCGTTTGCTCGACGGGGAACATCGGTGAGACGACGCCCTCGTCGCTGTCCGACTCGGCCACCCCCGTTGCCGGAGCGGAAAAAATGGTTTGGAACGCTTGATCCTAATTGGGCCACGCAAAGCGTTGCGTCTTCAGCGGGCTTGACCCGAACAGTGTTCGCACCGCAGAGCTTGCGCCCATTGCACCGCATAGCTTGCACCACCTCTGCGATGCCTCGGCGGGCCTCGGCGATGCATCGGCGATGCGGTGGGTTTGGCCTGTGCTGTTGTGACAGCTGTTGTGTGTGCTGTTGTTGTTTGTCTCGTTGCTATTGTGGCCTGCTGTTGCGCTGGTTGCTGGTGCTGTTGTTGCGTTTGCAGTTCCTTGTTGGTGTTGTTGGTGGTGATGTTGTCTTGCTTGTTGCTGTGGTTGTTGTGGCTGCTGTTGTTTGTGTGTGTTTCTGTTGTTGTGCGTGTGTGGGTGTGTGAGCATGTGTGTGTGAGTGTGCGAGTATGTTTGTGTGCGTGTGTGTGTGTGTATGTGTGTGTATTTGTGTGTGTGTGTGTGAATGTATGTGTGTGTGCGCGTTTGTGCGCGCGTGTGCGCGTGGCCGTTCGGTGTCGAGGCTCGAGCCTCGATCTGCAGATCGACGGCCCAGGGTCCTCGAGTCCAAGCTCGGAGATCTTCGGATCAAGGGTCCGATGTGCTCGCGGGTGCTCAGGGCCAAGATCTCGAATCCTCGATCCGAGGATCGAGGGTCGAGCCTGCTTGATGGCAGTCTTGGCCCGAGGACGGCGACGAGGGAGATCGACGATCGCCGGGGCTCGTTCCTCGATGCTCGGATCGCGGACCCGAGATCTTCGAGTCCAAGCGCGGCGATCCTCGGATCTAGGATCCAAGGCGCTCAATGATGCTTTGAACCAATATCTCGGACCCTCGATCCGAGAATCGAGGGTCGAGCCTCCTCGACGGCGGTCTGGGCCCGAGGGCGGCGACGGGGACAATCAACGATCTCCGGGGTTCGATCCTCGATCATCGGATTGCGAACCCGAGATGTTCGAGTCCAAGCACGGCGATCCTCGGATCTAGGATCCAAGGCGCTCGGAGATGCTCGGAACCAAGTTCTCGGATCCTCGATCCGAGGATCGAGGATCGAGCCTGCTTGATGGCAGTCTGGGCCCGAGGACGGCGACGAGGGAGATCGACGATCGTCGAGGCTCGATCCTCGATCCTCGGGTCGCGAACCCGAGATCTTCGAGCCCAGGCGTGGCGATCCTCGGATCTAGGATCCAAGGCGCTCAAAGCTGCTCGGAACCAATATCGCGGATCCTCGATCCGAGGATCGAGGATCGAGCCTCCTCGATGGTGGCCTGGGCCTGACGACGGCGACGGGGGCGATCGACGATCGCCGAGGCTCGATCCTCGATCCTCGGATCGCGAACCCGAGATCTTCGAGTCCAAAGCTTGGCGATCTTCGGGTCTGGGATCCAAGGTGCTCGAAGATGCTCGGATTTGAGATCTCGGATCCTCGATCCGAGGATGGAGGGTCGAGTCTGCTCGATTGCTTGATGAATGGTCGAGGATCACTCGGCAGGAGTATTACCCCGCAGCTTGGAGCGCCACTCGCGCCTGCTCGAGCGCTCGCTTAGAGCTTGAAAGCAAATGGGTCTCGAGCGCGTGCCTCGAGACGCCCGCGCGGCACCCTCGCAGCGAAAAGCATGGGAGCGCTTGGCTCGGGGCGCTCGTGCGCCAGGCGGTCGCCGCTCGCCGCCGCTCGGCTCTCAGGCGTCCTTCGGCGTCGACTTGTCGGCCTCTGGCTCGGCCTTCGCGTCGGCCTGGCTCTTCTCGGGCTCGCGCTGGTTGCGGATCTTGTCGTAGTCGGCGTGGATCTTGGCGAAGTCCTCGAAATTCGTCTTGATGTGCTGGTCGAGGGCCAACGTCTCGAAGCGGAGCTGCCTGTCGGTGCTTGCGTAGTCATGCTTGGAGCGCTTGTCCATGTAGTTCCGCTCCTGGAGCTTCTGGGCCATGTCGGCAGTGCGCTTGAGGCTCCAGCGCCACTTGACGACCGCTTGCGCGGTGGCTCGCGCGTGGTCAATGCCCTGCACCGAGCCGTCGTCGCGGCGCCAGTCGACGAATTGCTTGGCCTTCTGGGGGGTCATCTCGAAGAGCTGATCGCTTGGCATGTCGGGGGGGAACTCTCCGGGCATCTTCTCGACGGGCTCGAAGCCCTTGTTGATCGGCAGTACGAGGTCGTGGAGGTGGTGGCGCTCAGGGGGGATATCGGGGAGAGCCTTGCCGACGCGCTCGGCACAGGGGCCGAAGCTGAGGCGCTGGGCGCTCTCGGCGCCGAGCTCGATGTCCTTCTCTTCTTGGCAAGCTCGAGCACCTTCGACTTGAAGCTCGGCATGTGCCAGAAGAGGTTCTCGGGTGGCTCTCCGTGGTTCCCGAAGATGTCGCAGAGGCGGGCGTCTGTCTCGCAGCAGGTCCCGTAGAACAGCGCCACTGCCAGCTCGACGCGCCTCTTGTCCTTCTCGTTGAAGATGCGCCGCGCTCGATGCTCTTGAGAGAACCGCCGTTGCAGACCATCTCGAGGACGGCTTGCTGGGCGCTCACTGGCCACGGGGCGCTGTCCGCCTTGAAAAAGCAGGCCGTCACTATTGCTGGGCCAGTGCCTTGCGCGCTCGATTGGCATTGGCGCATCTCGGCGATAGCGATCTTGTCCGCGATGAAGGACAGCTTGTCGAGGATCTTCTCGTTCTGCTTGGCCATGCGCCCGAGAATCTCGTTCGAGCTCGGGCTCGCGCTCTGGTTCGCGACCCCCTGCAGGGCCGCGACCTGGGTCGCCGCCTGGGCGCGCTCGGCGGCCTGGGACATGGCTGAGGCTCGCGACGCACTTGGGTGCAACGATGTGGGGTGGATGGGCATTGAGGGGGGGAACGTCGACCTGGAATCGGCGATACATCGCCGATGCATCGGCGATGGGCGTCCGATCGTGAATTCGCACGTTCTTGGGCAGGTTCGGGCTATCGAACCACTCTCTGCGATCAATGAGCGATTGGGGATCGATGCGTCCCCTTATGCCTTATCCCCATCATATCATTGCCCCTGGGTGAGGTGTAGCTCGGTGCCTCGAAGAGGCTCGACATCTTGGGGTCTCGGAGACTCGGGGATGCTCGGGCCTGGGCAGTTGCGGGGGGGGGGGGGGGGAGGAGGTGGAGGAGGAGGAGGAGGTGGAGGAGGGGCCACGAACCGCGTGAGGGATGCGCTAAACAAGTAACTCAAATGCGCTGCCTGCTTGAAAAACGCATGTAATTTCAAAACCCAATCGGTTCCCATGGCCCTGCCGCGCGTTTCTGACTCGGGGACGGCTGAAAAAAAAGTGAGAATCCAACGGCCCTGCCGCGCGTTTGTGACTTGGGAAAACATCAAATGGTGAGAACGTCATAACCTTGTCACAGGCTCGTGACTGCGGAAGCTGAAATGGTGAGACCGCCATTGCCATGCTCAGCGTTTTTGATGATGTTGCTAGTCAACATGAGATGATAGCCGTTTCGATTCGCAATCCCCCCCGGGGGTTATCAAGTTCGACCTCCGCGCCCCATTCCACAATTAAATCCGATTGACACGGGATAAACCACAACAGAAACAGGGGAAAAGGAGGGGGCAGGTTTTTTTTATCCGGGGCATTTGGTCATTTCGTAGTTTTCGGGCTCCCGCAGGGCTCCCCCGGGCCCCGAGACTTTCAAACAGCGACTCGGGTTGAGAAGCTGGACCCGGGACCCGCTTCCCTCAGGACTCGGTTCCTGGGGACCCGCTCTTTCATGCCAAGTTGAGTACCCAGGACCCGCTCCCTCAGGACTCAGGACCCGCTTCCCCCAGGACCCTCCTGGATCCCGGGACTCCTGGGGAAGAGCCCCAGGATCCAGCAGCACCCGCTTCCTTCAGGACCCGCTCCTTCATGCCAAGTTGAGTTTCGCGGGTGTGCAACCTGCCCCCGCCAGCAGTTGCTGCGCTGTTCCCGCCGCGCCCGCGCCTGCCGCACTTGCCGCCGCGCCACCGACGACCGCCCCGGCCTCCGCTTGCCGCCCGCTGGCCACTTCTTTGCCTGCTTGCTGCCGCTGCTGCCTCCCATCCGGCCAACAAGTTACATACTGTACCCAAAAGCCCCGGGGGCTGGGCGAGGGTCCTGGTCGTGGGCTTGGTACACAAAACTCCCTCCCTGGGACGTGGTTTTGTGTAGTAGTTCCCGCTCTCCGTTCCCTCCTTCGCCTCTTCCTCCTTCTCCTACTTTTGGAGCGGGGGCCAAACTGCAGGGTGCCTGCCAGGGGGCGGTAGGGTGCGCCCCAAGGGCCCTCTTCCGAACAACGCCTGTCGGAGCGTGGTGGCGCATGGCCTGAGGAGGCCAAGTCGGCCAGCATCCGTCCGTGTTGCGTCATATGTGACCGGCGGGCAAGCCCACCGCAGGATGAGGCGGAGGGCGAGTTCTGGGTGGGATCCCGGGGCGTGGAGGGAGTGAGGGATGAAGCGGGGTTGATGCTTCGACGCCATGCGTTCGGCACGAGTGTGGGATAGCCCCCTTCCCTTCCTTCCGTTCCTGCTCAATCCAACCCGCGCAGGGATTTGACCCGGTTCCTCGCGGGATGCGTTCTCAGACGTTGGCAGACGTTGAGCGCCCGAAGCAGCAGCGCGTAGGATCGGTCGATCCCCTCGTGTGCTAAGATGTCCCGTTTCGCTCGTGCGGTGGTGTTCGTGCCTGTGGCGGGTCAGGTCCGCGGTCGGGGGAGAGCCGGGCGCCCCCCGAGGAGCTGGAGCACTCGGAGGCCTGGAAGACGGGGGCTGCGATGGCGCTGGTGCCGCCGGTCAGAGAAGCTACCAGGATCAGGGATGCCTTGCGTGCGCTGCAAGACGCGCAGGTGCGCCCATGCACAGCGCTGCGCGTGTGCTGGCACCACCGGGCACGCACAGCGCCTCAGCGTGCGCAGCACAACGCATGGGAGTGCCAAGGCATAGCACACCGTGCATGCGCAGCTGCATCGCCGGGCATACGCAATGCCCCGTGCTCGCTGAGCAGCACATGGGTGCACATAAGTGGCGCCCGCGCGTCGCCGCAAGATCGGCTGCGTGCAGGTTTTCTTCAGATGTTGGCCTCCAGGGACATGGTTACTAATAGCACAGGGGCTTCCGCAACCTTCGGGCTCGACTCGCCTACTTCCTGCTCTTTCCCAGGACCACGCATCTTGGACAACAGCCCCACAGTTGCACCCAAAAGCGGAGGATGTCTGGCGCCCCGAACGGTAGACGGGCTAACGGTGTTCTGCGCAACGGCCTGGTAGGTTTCGGCAGTGTAGGTGTGACTGGTCCGTGGCCAAACCAATTGTAGGAAAACATGGCTCGTGCTTTCCTACAATTCGCGGTGTCGTTTTCGTGCGGCATGTCTGCCATGTAGGAACGCGTGGTTCGTGTGTTCCTACAGCTGTTCCTACGCGCGCACGGTGCCACAAAAGCCAGATCCCCTGCCACGCCGTTGCCCTACAAAGGCCGTTGGCCCTGCCTTGGCCGAACGCGCGGGGTCCCGGGCCCGAGCGCGGTCGGCCTGCGCCGGAGCTCTGTCCCGAAGCCTGCGCGCAGGGCGGGAGGCCGCTGTGGGAGCCTCCTGGCCGCCCTTGGGCAGTTTCGCCAGAGAGGCGCTGGAGCCCGAGAGTCTGGCGGTTCCATTTCTTCGAGCTTGGGGTTTTCGCAAAGCTTCGGGCCCCGAAGACCCTGACAGATCGGTTCGGCTTGGAAAATTGCACAGTGAGCTGGGGTCCAAGGCTCCGGTCGTGATGTGTTGGGTGTATAACTTTTCTCGCGCCGTCAGGGGGTGAAGTTCGAGGTGCTGGGTTCGATATTGTGTTTGAAATTTGCGGTCTCTCGGGGCCCCCGTTTTGGGTGCGGGGACGCGTCAACACAGGATCCGAGATGAACAGTTGCATCAGATGCATTCGGGAGGGGCCCTGGGGCCGATTTGAGCGGATGTGCCCTCTATCCCCCGTCTTGCCAGTTTTTCTCGGGGCCCATCCAGCTCAGACCCCTTGACCGCGTCCAACTCCCGAGGACGCCTGCCCAGACCGTTCGGAGACAGAGCAGGAGGTTGACTAACGCGTGCAGCGCACAGGGCGAAGGAGGCGCAGCCCGCATCATTGCGTCGCTCGGGGCTGGACGCGCATAATCGCGCCTTCCCCGTCGGTCGCTTGGCGCTCCGCTGAGCGCTCCGACATAATGGTCGCCCACACCTGACGACAGTCGGGGGGGGGAGAGAGCAGGGGAAGGGAGGAGGGGGTGGGGGAAGGGGAGGGGTAGAGAGAGAGGGGGAAGGAAGCGGGGATTGGGGGAGGGAGGGTTGGGGGGATGATGACGCGAGGGGGATGATGAGAGGAGGCGGGGGAATGGCGAGAGGAGGGGGGGAAGGGGAATGATGGGATGGGGAGGGGCAGAGGGGGCTGATGAGAAGGGGAGGGGGGACGAGGGGGAGAAGAGAGGAGAGGAGAGGAGAGGAGAGGAGAGGAGAGGAGAGGAGAGGAGGCGGGGAACCCAGACTCCCGACGTAGTGTTTTTTTGTTCATGACGTGGCCACCCAGCGGTCTGGACCCACTCCCCAGGATTGGTTTTTCCTTCCGAGCCGTCTCTCCACGGCTCCGAGGGCCGGCGACGCCCCCCCGGGGCCGAGAACAGCGCAACACCTGCCGTCATGATTGTTTCATGACCCGAGGGGGTCTGGATCGTCGGATGTCTGGGATGAGGGTCCGTCCCGGGCCACTTCGAGATGACCCCGGAAGAGTGGCGGCCGGGAGCCTCCTGGGAAGCGCCCGGCCCCGTGAGGAGCTCGCGTCGTCGTCGTCGTCGTCGTCGTCGTCGTCGTCGTCGTCGTCGTCGTCGTCGTCGTCGTCGTCGGGGCGGGGCGATTCGACGGGGCCCCGCGCGCCGCGGCGGAGGCCGCGGCGGAGGCGCAGCGGGCCCTCGCGGGGCGCGAGTGCCGCAGCGCGGGCGAGGCGCTGCAGCAGTGCCGGCAGCAGGACGGGCCCGGGGCCCCCGCCTCTCGGGAGCGGCGCACAGGTCCACAGATGCGGCGCTCCAGAGGCAGGAGCGAAAGAAGGACGCACACGTACATCAATCCACGCTGGTTTCGAGAGCTCGCATTGCGCGAATGTTCGCGTGACGCGGCCGGTCTCGCGGGTCGAGGGGTCGTTTTCGTGTACATTGCTGGGCGAGTACGTCCTTTGTGGGCTCCCTACTGCAGACCCCGTCGAGTCACGAAAAACCGCGACGGGAGTCAGTCTGCTATTTTCGCCCTCTGGAGGCCCTTACCGGGCCTCGGGACCGTCAAGAAGCGGCTGAGGGTGAAAACCCGGTCCTGGGGAATGGGTCGAGACCTTTGGGGGTCGACGTCACGAGCAAATCACAACGTCGGGGGTAGCCCAGTATTGCAGTTTTTTTGTCACAGAGCGTTTTCGCCAGGTTTGGTGCCCCGGGGCCCTCACAGATCGATCCTGTGCGAAAAACGCCACAGGAGGATGGAGTCTAGGTTTCCAGTTGTGATTGTCTGCGATGTCTCAATTTTCCCCGCCGTCGGATCTGACGGTATGGGGCTCTCCAGAAAGCCTTTCGTTTTCGAGGATCCGAGAAGTTGCCGTCTCTTCCTCTGGGGGAGCGGAAGCCAGCGGAAGAAGTAAAACGAGGGCGGCTCTGCCAGCGGAAGCTGGCGGAAGTCCAGCAGCAGACCGCCCCCCTGGCCCCCGCATCTCACGAGCGGCGAACAGTAGATTTGCAGATCCATCGGGGAACAGCAGATAGCATAAACATTATGTTTCGAAGGTCCGCGCGGATTTCTCAGATCAGCGCCGGAGCCCCCTGGTGGCGCCTCCGGCGCCGCCATTGGCGCGCTCCGCCGATCCGAAAAATCCGCGCGGACATCAGACAGTTTGAATTGATGCCCGAACCCACGCGGTCGTTGTTTTGATTCCGTGGCGCGTTCCCGTGGATACGCGGCCGCATGGACACGTGGCATCCGCGAAGAAACGCTCCGTGTCATTGAGGCCCAGGGGCCCGGCCCGCGAGGCTGTGGATGTGGACAATTACTCGTGGATAATTATTCAGACGGGATTGCTAGGACAAGGATAACTCCGTTCCAGGGCGTTCCGTCTCGGAGCGTTCCGGTCTGAGGAGGCCGCGGCGCGCGAGAGATCCTCCAGAGCCGCCGGATCTCAGAAATTCTCGATGTATCCTCACCCGATGTTATCTTCGTCCTGGCTTCGTCTTAGGTGCGTTGCCCGCCACGCCCCCCCCACCCTTCCTCCCTGCTGCGGCCCTTGGTCTCTCTGGGCAGGGGGAGGGAGGGGGAGGGAACGAGGAGGGGAAGCACGGATGGGGGAGCGGGAGAAGGGAGGGCGGAAAGGAGGAGGGGGGACCAGTGTAAACCCAAGAGTCATCAACGTTGTTGACATAAACCCTCCCTCCAAGCTCCCTCTCCATAGGCCCATATAAGGGTTCATGTTTACTGAGGGAACTGCCTCGTTGGAAGACAACCGGTTGAAGACCCTGAAGCTTGCCAAAACATTATTTCTGGGATTCCAACGCCACGGATGAACCTGACTGTTGCGTCTTGACGATCGTGAATCGCGCCAGAACGCCACCTCTGGGACTTCAACACCGCGAGTAAATGTAGGTGTTGCACCCTCATAATCCTGAATATGTCCAGAACGCTATTTTTGGTGCGATGACCACGGGAATCCGTGAAACAATTGCAAACTGTATACAAGAATGTGCGCGGCGCTAGAGCGAGAGCCACATTTTGCAAACGAACCGCCCTCAATATGTGAAGCGCTTGCTTTAAACACAAAACGAGTGTGCGCGGCGCTGAGGCGAGAGCCACATTTCGAAAACGAACCGCCCTCAATCCGTGAAGCCTTTGCAAGTTGAAAAACGAATGCGCGCGGCGCCAAGGCGAGAGCTACATTTTGAAAACGACCCGCCCTCCATCTGTGAACTTGTTTCCAATGTTGCAGCTTCAGGGTCACATAATGGTGGGGAAGTCTCAAGCGAAACGCCCGGCCCGCCCTTGCGACCGAGGGAGAAGTTCTTTATAGGGAAATGGAATGGACGAAGGGGAGGGGACGAGGAGGGAGAGGGATAGGGGGGAGGAGGAAGGACAAGAAAGAGGAGGGGGAGGAGGAGGAGGGACGGGGACGGAGGAGGAGGGGGCAGGGAAGGAGGAGCAGGATGACGAGGGCGAGTTGTGCGACAAGGAGGGGAAGGGGGAGGAGAAGGAGGGGGAGTCGGAGGAGTCGGAGGAGGAGGAGGAGGGAGAGAGAAGAAGCAAAAGTGGCGCTGCAACAGTGCCAGCAGCAGGGCGTCCACTCGCCCCTGCTGCGACCCTGGGCTTTCCTCTTCCTCCGCCTGCTTCTCCTCCTCATCCTTCACCGCCTTTTCATCCTCTCCCTGCCTTTGCCTTCCTCGTCTCTCACCTCTGCTTTGCAGGCGCCTCACACTGATCGTGCCCCTGTGTCGGGGGCCCACCCTTGGCCCCAGTGGGCGCGCCCGCATGGCATTCCCACGCCCACTTCGGCACCCCCATCACGCGCATCGTGCCCCCACAGGGAGCTCCACCTGCGGCCGTCCGTTCGCATGCGCCCCCCCGCACCACAGGGACCCAAACTCCGCAGGGCGCCGCCAAGCTGGAGTTTTTCCTGTATGGGTCAGGGCTGGGCGCGGAGTGCCTGTGCGGCTTGAAATGCGCTGGTATGGCGCCGATGTCTCTTTTTTTTTCGCCGCTGGATGTAAGGGTAAGAGGGGGCGAACGCGGTCTTACACAGTCCCTGGGTGCGTGGCTGAAGTGCGCCCCCGCTGTGCGGACCCGTCCCTTTTATCATCATTTCTATTATTCTGTGTATTCTTATTATTGACGGCCCCACCCCGCGACCCAGCCCCGCACCCGACCCACCCGCGACCCAACATCGACCCACCCCGCGACCCACCCCTGACCTGCTTCGCGACCCCCCCGCGACCCGCCGCGCGACTCGCCCGCCCGCCGAAGATGTATTTCCGATCCACCCACATCACGGTTTTGAAACAATCGGCGCTTGCGTCGAGCTCGCTATGCGTTATGAAGAGGGCGGCTGGGTCGGGTGGTGGGGTTGTGGAGGCCCTTTGGCCTGGCCAGGTGCACACAGAGCAGGTGATACCGCCCCAGGTTGCGCATGCAATGCGATGCGTGACGCCGAACAAAAGAAGTCTTTACAAAGCGCGTGACAGTAATGTGTCGGATCTACTGCTTAGGACGTCAGCATTTGGAGGATTGGTGAGGTGGTTGCTTCTCTTACTCGCTAAACATGTGGTGACGGGTAATTTCTGCTCCTGGCGCGAAAGGGAGCCCTGTACGAGCAGAGGTCGCCCAAAGCTGCCGCTGGACGCAACAAACAGGGCCGATTGGGTTGGAAGTAGTTGGTGGCACGCCCCAGAATCTACAGCCCTTGTCGAGTGTGTGTGTGTGTGTGCTCTAGCTCGCACGTGCTTCTGCTGCGCACCCGTTCGGCGAAGAGCAACAGCGGGCCCGCTTGAACGGCCGATCCAATTTCCAATCCGAACTGGTGCACATGGGGGGGTCGACGCTCAGGTGAACGACCTGGGAGGGGGGGGGCGTCGGCGGGAGGGGTTGCGGAGCGAAGTGGCTGCCAGAGGGGAGGGGACGGGGGCGGCTAAGCGAGAGGAGAGGGTGGGGGCGGGAAACGGGGAACGGGGGGATTCTGCGGGCAAGAGGGCGGGGATAGGGAAGCGGGGAAGAGGGAAGGTGCTTGCGAGAAGCGCTGGTTGGTCGGTTGGCCTGTGTGGGCATTGGGTGAGGCCTCGGACACGGCCCCTTATAGTTGGCGGCGCCTCCCTCCCTGGCACGGCTGTGGGACAGCTCACCGCTTGACGCGTGTTGCCAAGGGAGAGGAGCGCCAGCTGGCACAGTGGAGGCGCGCGGTCCTGGGCCCCTTCCGAGCCGGACGCGGCGGATGAGGAGGTCGCCGAAGGCGAGCAGCTCACTGAAATCACCGATTCGATGGGGGCGTTGGTTAAGGACTGTTGCCAGGAATCTCTAGACCTTGGAGGATCCTTTGACTGATGAGGGCGGCGGCGATGACCATGGCCGATCCACGATTGGAATCCCACCTGTTTCCAGGCCGTGGATCAATTATCCAGTGGTTCCCTATCCAATGCCCTCGCCCTTTCTAAAAGCATAGCCATCCAACAAGCTGAAACTCGCTGGAAGAAAGAGATTATGGTCATGATGATGATGATGATGATGATGATGATGATGATGATGATGGTGGTGGTGGTGATGATGATGGTGATGGTGGTGATGGTCATGGTGATGCTGCTGATGATGATGATGACTATGGTGGTGATGATGATGCTGATGAGGATGAGGATGATGATGACAATGTTAATAACGATGATGATGGTGATCAAGATGATGATCATGATGGCCATGATTATGACGGTGGTGATAGTAATGACGACGATGATGCTGATTATGTTGATGATGGTGGTGATGTTTATGGTGATGCTGATGATGATTATGATGATAATGAGTATGACGATGCTGATACTGATGACGATAAAGATGATGGTGATGATGAGGGTGATGATGGTGATGATGATGACCGTGATAATGATGGCAATGATGCTGCTGCTGATGATGACGATTATGGTGATGATGATGATCATGATGATAATGGCGATGATCTCACGATGGTGATGGTGATGATGATGATGCTGATGGCGATGATGATGGTATCATGATGGTGATGATGCTGATTATGTTGATGGTGATGATGTTGATGATGATGATGATGCTGATGATGATGATGATGATGATGATGATGATGATGATGGTGATGCAGCTCGCTGGAAGACAAAAAAAGGTCTTGCCCTCAGTTAGCCCGTCGCCGCTCTCTGCGGCCCGATTCGGAGCCCGCGGGCCGCGCGAGGCCCTTGCCGCGCGCTTCTCGGCGGGCATCGTCGGGGGCGTCCA